CCACGCGCCTCGGTCCAGTCTTTGATAGCAGCTGCAGCGGCGTTGGCGAAACGTATAGAAGTGCCTTGAGGCTGTCCAAGTACCCTTTGGAGTATAGGAGCCGGGAAATAGCCGTGCACACCGATGGCGACAGCCTTCTTAATGCGAGGTGGAGATGGGTTGATGTGTAGATGAGGCATGGCATGTTCGTCCCCTAGGAAATACTGGCGGATCTGCTGCCAATACGTCGGTTTCTGCACCAGACGATATGTGCTCTTAAACTCGGGTAGAATAAGATTGGGCGGTTCCTGTTTGACTTTTGCCAGCTTCGAGGTATGCTGTGCTACGGGAGTAGTATCCGTTATGGAGGGCGAAAGGTTAGGGGATGTCTTGGAAGGTGTAACAGTCTTGCTGGAGCTTGGAGTAAGAGTTGACGTGTCTTTGGGCGTTGGTTTGACTTTGGGCCGCCCACGAAGCGATCTAAAGGATTTTTTGGAACTTGGTTCCTCTGGAGGCGGTTTCGGGGGTTCCTTTGCGCCATCCTTAGACTGCTCTTCCTGCTCGTTGAACTGTGCTGCCTCTGGATTAGACTGGGAAGGCGTATCGAACACGGCAACTTCGCCAACTTTCTTCACCGAGTTGCGTCTGCCTTCAGTGGATCTGCCCTCTACTTTCGGCTTCTCTTTGAACCAAAACGCCCACCCCGAAGGTTTGGTGGGTTCCTTTGCGATTGATTCAGCGTTTTCAACTGCTTGAGGTGGCTCTACCACAAGGTTTGGCTGCTGAGGTTCAGTCTCCGAAATGCCCGACTCCGCTACAACGTCAGGTTGCTGTGGGGCATCGTCGGATTTGGAAGTATCTGCGGGAGGATTTGTTTGCGCGTTTTGAGCACTGCTCCACATCCAGAACCAAGAGCTACTCGATGTATTCTTAGGTCCGGCATCGTTTGGCGGGGGTGCGTCTTTCATCTCGGTATCATGATCGGCCTCATTCGCTACTGCCGGAGCGTCCTTCATCTCAGTATCCTGGTCCTGAGACGAGTCTGCTGGGGCAGTGGTATTGCCAAGCTCTTTCGACTTTGCATCCGCCTCCTCGGAGGGTGTAGGCCCAGGTAAAGGGGTTTTCTGCGCATCGTCTGCGATGTTCTTAGCGACTTCGGGGTAGCCATCCGGTCGAGACCACCAACTCCGCCAGCCAAAGGTACTCGCAGGTTCGTTGGTCGGGCTGATCTTCGGCGGGTCAGGTGGTAACGGTGGCTCGTCGATGGAGGGGGTAGGTGGCTCTCTCGGCTCGTTCGATGTTTCCTGTATCTCACCCACCGAGCCGTTCGATGAGACGTTAAGTTTTGTCATAGCCGCCGGTATCGCACTACCTTTACTTGACTTTCGTTTCGTCAGGAACTTCTTAGGCGACTCGTCTTGCAGCTTCTGAGCCTGCTCCCCAGGCAGCTCAGATGTCGCGCCACCAGCGACTCCGATGCTCTCCTTTGCAGTCTTGACTATGGCGGGCGCCTTTGAGCGCCAGCTGCCGCCTCCTCCGATCCACTTTATGCTCGTCTTCTTGCTCAGCGTCTGGGTGCCTGGGGCCGCGGAAGTGCCTGTGCTGTTGGATACAGACAAGGGCTCGGCTACCAACGTGTTTGAGGGCGCATTTTGGGATTCTCCGGCCCCGCTCGGCGTAATCAATGGTAGATTTGAAGAGCTGGAGTTGGCTTCTGTAGGCGGCGCGGATTCGGAGGTGCCGTCGTCGGCTGGAGCCTGGTGGTTGGGCTTTGATTTCTTGCGTGGGCTCATTCCAACGTGAGAAGTGAGGCGATCGAGCAGCCTATACGGGCGCTACGGCGTCTGCGTGTGAGTATGTGTGTTCAGGAGAGCGTAGATGGCGATGATAGTGGTGTTGGCGGCGTACCTTCAGTGCCGTCGCGGGCCAGGCGAGGTGGTTGCTGCTCGTCGCGGGCATGACGCATGTGGTTGCCCTGTGCTCGAGTTAGCGCATAGTTTATAGGTAGTGCCCCTTGTAGCGTGGCGGTCAACCCTCAGCCACAGCACACGCGCCACCCTCGATTCTGCCGCGCCACACCGCCGAGCGAAACCCAAAAATTTCCTTTCCTTCAGTGCATCGCAGCCCTTCCCCGCCAGCGCCTGCCTCACCACCAACGTCGTCGTCGTCGCAGCCATGGCCATCCAGAAGAAGGTGCGAATACTGCCCTACCATTCAATTCATATGCTGACCATTTTCTAGCACGGCAAAGGCCGCCTCGACAAATGGTACAAGCTCGCGAAGGAGAAGGGCTACCGCGCCCGCTCCGCCTTCAAGCTGATCCAGCTCAACAAGAAGTACAGCTTCTTGGAGAAGAGCAAGGTGCTTATCGATCTGTGCGCTGCACCAGGAGTAAGCTCTCTCTTCTCGTCCATACCGAGCCCGCCCTAATTGCCGCAGGGATGGTGTCAAGTTGCCGCAGAGGTTATGCCCATGGGCGCACTCATTGTCGGTGTCGATTTAAACCCCATAAAACCCATTCCGCGATGCATCACGTTCCAGAGCGATATTACATCCGACAAGTGCCGCGCCACCCTCCGCCAACACCTCAAGACCTGGAAGGCTGATTGTGTTCTGCACGATGGAGCTCCGAACGTTGGTACAGCCTGGGTGCAGGATGCCTTCTCGCAGGCAGAGCTAGTGCTACAGTCTATGAAGCTTGCAACCGAGTTCCTCGCCGAGGGCGGCACATTCGTCACCAAGATTTTCAGGTCCAAAGACTACAATTCGCTTCTCTGGGTTTTCAAACAGCTCTTCACCAAGGTCGAAGCCACCAAACCGCCGTCGTCCCGTAACATCTCCGCCGAAATCTTCGTTGTTTGCCGCGGCTACAAGGCGCCGAAGCATCTGGACCCCAAGTTCCTCGACGCCCGCTCCGTGTTTGCTGAACTCGCAGATCCCGCCCCAAACAACGAAGCCAAGGTTTTCAAGCCAGAGATCAAGAAGAGAAAGAGAGAGGGTTACGAGGAGGGAGACTACACCCAGTTCAAGGAGGCCTCAGTCACCGAGTTCATTCAGAACCCTGACCCCATCGCCATCCTAGGAAGCCTCAACAAACTGAGCTTCGACCAAGCCCCCAATGGCGACATCGCCATTGCCACTATCAACAAGATGCCCGAGACTACCCAGGAGATTCGGAACTGTTGCAACGATCTGAAAGTCCTGGGCCGAGCAGACTTCAAGCGGCTACTGCGATGGCGGCTAAAGGTGCGGGAAATCTTCGGCTTCTCGACTAAGAAGAAGGACGCAGAGACGGCCGCAGCTGCAGTAAAGGCAGCCGAATCAGAGGAGGTAGCTCACATAGAGTCCATGGACGAGGAGATGAAAATCCAGGAAGAGATGGAACGACTGAAGGATCAAGACTCAAAGAAGAAGAAAAAGGCAAAGCGGAACGAAAATGAGAAGAAACAAAAGGAGATCATCCGCATGCAGATGAACATGACGACACCCATGGAGATCGGTATGGAACAAGCGGGCCCGTATGGTGAAGACTCCATGTTTGCGTTGAAAGCCGTTGATAAAGCTGGTGCTCTCGCAAAGGTCGCCAAGGGAAAGATGGCGACTATTGTCGAACACGAGAAAGCACATGAATCCAGTGACGAAGAAATGGAGTCGGATGACGAAGAAGATCAGCTTGAACGTGAGCTTGACTCCGCGTATAGCACGTATGTGGAAGAGAGGTCGGCCAAGGACGCCAAGTACCGCGCGAAGCGCGCCAGGAAAGAGGACGAGGACGGGGAGTGGAACGGCTTTTCTGACACAGAAAAAGCGGAGAGCAGTGATGAAGAGCTCGTTGAGGACAACGATAGCGATATGAGCGAGGACGAAGACGGACCGAAGAAGTTGATAACTGATCTCGATAACGACCAGGGGACACGCAGCGGGCTCACAAAACGAGCAGCAAGGTTTTTTGAGCAGGACATCTTCAAAGGTATTGATGGGTTGGAAGATCTCGAAGAGGATGACGACAGCGGCATCGATGTTGAGGATGATGCAAACAACAGCCCCGTAAAGCTTCCGGAGCGGCCCAAACCAGATGCGTCTGCACCTGCGAAGAAAGCAAAGGTACCCGCTCTGGTTCCAGATGATTCAGAAGATGCATCATCTGGAGAAGAGGACGAGGAGGGTATTGAAGAGGTGAAGCGCGACGAGTCTACTTGGGAACAAGACGATATGCCTATGAAAAATGGCCGCCCCGACATCGACATCATCACAGCAGAAGCAATGACATTAGCCCATGAGCTCGCGACCGGCAAGAAATCAAAGCACGACATGATGGACGACGGCTTCAACCGGTACTCCCTCCGGGACGTTGACGGCCTGCCTGATTGGTTCCTCGACGACGAGAACAAACACTCTAAAATGCAGCGACCTGTCACCGCCGCTGCTGCGGCAGCCATCAAAGAGAAAACACGCGCCTTCAACGCCCGTCCTATCAAGAAGGTCCGCGAAGCCAAGGCCCGTAAGAAGTTTAAGGCTGCGCAGCGCCTCGAGAAGCTCAAGAAGAAGAGCGCTCTGCTCGCTGACGACGAAGGTCTGACGGAGAAGGAGAAGGCACAGAGTATTGGACGATTAATGAGCAGGGCTATGAAGAAGAAACCAAAGTCGAAGGTGTCAGTGGTCGTGGCTCGAGGTGGAAACAACGGGATCAAGGGAAGGCCAAAGGGCACGAAGGGTAAATATAAGATGGTGGACGCGAGGCTGAAAAAGGATGTCAGGGCCGAGAAGAGGCTAGCGAAGAAAGCCAAGGGAAGCGGAAGGAGGTGATGGTGTCAGCTAGAACCAATTTCAATTCGGATTATGTCTCCTGTGTATGTCTCGCATTGTGAAACTTATTGTGCTATTTCTTTCCTCTTCGCCGAATTGCTTGTCCACATCACTATTACAAGTGAAGATGAGTTCGACAAACCCAGCACGCTCTTTGGCGAGAATGCAGTGATTTCATTCTAAAATATCTCAGCAAAAAAAGAAAAAGTAGAAATTTCTCTCTACAAGAATCGAACTTGCGTCATCGGCGCGACGAGCCGACATACTTTACCACTGTACTGAGAGAGGACTTGAGGGTATCTGCTTTTTTCGAATATTACTTCCTTACAGTAACTAATATATATACATGTATGAGTATGCACAGCGGATGAATTACCATCTTTTCAGCTTTGAGCGTCCAAGGGACACTGTCATAGTTCACCAAAACCGCTCTTGGCAGATTCAAAACATCATTCAACCTTCTTACTGAACATGCCGAGCCATTCTGAAAATTCTCTTCGAACCGTGGGACTTGGAAATCAGTGATGCGCACAATGATGGATCAGAAGTTAGTAGCGGGAGGGCCAGCAAACTTTGCCCATTGGACAATTAATGACTATACACAACGTCGTAATTGACGCAAGACTGGTCTCGATTCAGACGCTCAGCAAGACATCAATTTTTCCAAAGCCCACTCACGCTTTAATACATATACTTCTTCTATCCGTCACTGCATAAAAGTTCGCTATGCTGTACTTTTCCGAAGTAGCATCACAACCCAAACACCGGCCACATAAACTCTTCTAAAGACGAAGAACCATCATAGCACTCAATACAACGTTTTGTGTCTCATTAGAACAATGGGATCTACCATATCTATATCCATCCTCGACCGCAAATTCTCCTCTCTTCAGCGCTCCGTTCAGCACATCCACTCCGTTGCGGGCGTTGATCTACAACACTTCTCCACCCTACTCCAGACTTAGATCTACTCATTTGAGTCTTCAGTCCAAGAATTTGGCGCCACTACAGCAACGCCATATATGAGACCGCGGGCTAACGCATCTTTTGTCGACAAATCGCGTACACCAAAGCCGGGTGTCAATATCAATAACCTGCGGCTAGATTTGAGTTTCACCGCCGACAGATTCAGACAACTCCCAGTATCTATAACCTCCTACCTCTAAGACGTAGTCTGCCTTATTAGTTCTCTCCTAGACACACGACCTATTACCTCAAATCCACCCATTCTACACTAGCCCCCACTTTAAATTCTCACTCTTCAAACATGCAATCCCACCACTGATCCATCCTGGCCTATCATCGCCGCAAGCCCCGTCTTGCTTGTCAGCCAAGTAAGCTTATCTCGCGCGAGAAAGCCAAGCCGCCGCCGCCTGAAGAATACGGATGGGCGCACCACAAGAATAGACTTCCATCCTGTGAGATCTCTGGGTGCTGCGATCAGAATCAAGTTTCAAAAATGAAGTGTTTCTCAAATACTATACATGCCTTTGACGAAATTTCACATACAAAGCCACCCTGTTCTTAATCCATCATAAGCATCTGTTCCCCCTTTCCAAATTCATTTCTAAAATTTAAACTACACCTGCCGCCCATCGGGCCGCTCTCGCACAATACAGTGGAAAGGTAATGAGAAGGCAAATAATATTGTTGAAGGTAAAACATGACTATAAATGTAAAAGCCGTCGTAAAATATATGAAGGATGACTTCTGTTCGCAAGTTAGAAATAATCTGAAAGAGAGTAATTTGATCGAGGGACTGATAGAAAGTTTGCTTACCATACGGGAGGAGGTGTTTATGAATTTGACGAACGGAATAGAAGAAGAAATGACGTGAAGGTAGACGATTTTGAATTAGAATCAAGACACCGAGCCCATCCGTCTATCAAGCGATCATTAAGTATCATTAACACATCAATAAAAAAGCTAGGTTCTCTACCACATTATGATCAACACGACGAAAGTACCTAGAACCGCAATAAGTGCACTTCTTCTGCCAGAATAAGTCACCGGACCCGAGCCAGCCGGCACTATTTGGAGCGTGACTGTAACAACAGGACCGCCCTTGGTCGGTGTCGCTCCAATATCCGTCATCGACACTGAGCAATATATCAGCTCCAAGTCCCAAAAGTTGCAAACCGACTCCAACTTACCAATACTTGAGCTTGAACTTGCCACGGGAGTAGGAGTATAAGGCATCACTACGAAATCCCACCCTCCAGTAACCGTAACTCGATGCCGGCCCAGCCCTAGATCTGTATTCCCACTCGCGACTCTCCTATCATATTCTTCAGGTGTCTCATCTTCCGCGTAGCAGATTTCCACCCCTCCTCCAAGATCTCCCCCCCTTGTCTTAGGCATCTCGTTATCCTCCCACGAGAGCATGCATTGCGTAGTTACAATTTTCCCCTTCGAATCCGGGGGCCGACTAACGATCCATAAGCCATCCCCTTGGTGAATAGTTTGGCTCGTGGTTCCGAATCGGCTTGTTTGACACGGGTCATAATTCGAGGGTTTTGGCGTCGGGAGCGTCGCGGGTGGTATGCAGGTCATTGCGTACGCAGTCTCGCGGCCCGTTGTTTTGATTATCGACGCGTAGTAAGTTGCTGGGCCTGGGCCGTAGGGCGGAATAATGGTTGAGTACACCATTGTTTTGGAGGCAAACCTGGGTGTGAATTCGGCGTGAATCAAGGACAATCTAGAAAGGAGCAAGGCGAAAACGAGAATTGGCGACATTTTGAAGACCCTGCGAAGGACTGTGTGAGGGGGGTTGAAACAATGAAGTCAAAAAGTATACTAGAAGTGGAAGCGCAAAAAAAGTGGAAATGAGGGGCGAATTTTGCAAACGCTGCAATAAAAGAATCGGTCCAGAGTCATTATACCTCTGCGCAATTGCGCCTCAATTGTACCTCAGAAGGAAGGGGCACTGCAGGGCAATCTGGACAACCGGTATTCCGTCGTCGTATCGCTCCATTTTCCAATGCCGAAGTAAGCAAATTTTCCGATGGACCAATGATAGGATGGATAGCGTCATGTGTGAAACAAACGGTGAGATTCTTATACGCCTTATGTTGGTGAAGTTTTATTCATCAGTCGGTTATTAACCATGTATCGAAATCCTAGCACAATTCCCAACTCGCGAAGATGCGACGGAGATGTGGCGAAGCTGAGGCTGAGATCTTGACGTGCAAAATGCACGCATCTCGTCATCCTGCATCAATATTGGGGTCACGGTAGAAATACAGATGATGTTTTGCTATTCTTAGTACTGATCATAGAGAGAGGGTAGAAGAAACAGTGGGCTAAGATCGTAATTAGATTTAGCGCTAGTGAAGTCGGATGGGTAGTAGATTACATCAACCAAGGGATTTTCATGTGCAATATATTTAATCGTTCTTAAGGAGTGATATCTACGTTCCCACACATACAAATAATGCATAGCTCCTGCGCTTCATTCCAACAACCATTCCACTAATTTTTTAAATGTAGCCAAAATTCTAGCAGTTGGCGTAGATCGCTGTGGTGCATTAGTAAAATAAGTATATTGTGGATTTCGCATACATACCGTTGGCATAAAGTGCGTAGGAGTCAGCGTTGTTAAGGGCCTGGCTCGCGGAGAGAGCCGTGGCAGCGGAGTAACCGTAGCCCAAGTCTTGAGTTCCCGGGCTGTAGACACCAGGCGCGTGCGTCTCCTCGTGAATCACAGTAGTAGCCTGATCCTGAGCGTGGCAAGAGGTGGTGAGAGCGGGAAGCGCAGTGAAGAAGAGATTGCAATAGGTGATGAAATTCGCAGACGGGACGGTGTAGGCCAGGACGTTGGACGAGCATCCCTAGACTTTTGTTAGCAACAATAATCCTTTCTCTTGCAAATGCAGATCTCTTACTGAGTAAGGGTCGTTGCAGTTGGTCGAAGTGCTACTGCCAGAACCTCCACAGTCGGAAGAGACGGCTCTCAGACGTGCAGACACAGTGTTCTTGGTGGATGTAGATGTCGACTTGAAATAGGTTGTTAGCTTAGTGCCGGCAGAAGCGGCAGAAGCAGCCGAAGTGGCCAGTTTTGCGCAGTTGGAGAGCGCCGTGCGGACGGCAGTCAATTTGGAACCGGTGCAGCTGGAGCCGACAACTGTACGTTTGGCCAAAGCCTTTTCCACGGTTGCGGCAACCGTACCGTCAATCGACATCGAGAGCTTGTTCGACTCGTATGGGAGGTTACCGGAGAGCTCAGTGGAGCCGGCCGCAGCGAATGGAATTAGACCTTCAGCAAAGACATCAAAGTCACCGCCCTGGGTGAGCGTGTGTAGAGCAGCAGTTTCAACCGTGACCTCCTTTGTCTCGCCAGCTCCCAAAGCGACGAAGTCGTCCGCACTCAGACCAGATGTTAGAAGTCGGATCCTGATACCCTCGAATTCAACCTGGGTGTCTATGTGTCTTGTCAGATCTTAACGATGAAGAGACCAAGATAGTAATGATGGAAGGGATGACAGATGAGCACAGATGCTGAAGTTGACAAGAAGATTTCAGAACAGTGTGACGTATCATGCGTCTAGTATCGGGAATTAAAAACCAGGAGATGCATGAACTTACTGCCAGCGGCAAACATCTTGACCTTCTCCACGGGATTGGCCTCATCCAAAAAGGTTCCCTTGCTCAACAAGTTAAGAGCTGCCTCTCCATTGTTCGTGACGGCGATCTTGACTTCAGAGTTACCCGCAGCAGTGAGCACGACGCTCAAAGGCGAAGCACGCTTATTGACATTGATGGCAGTCGCGCTGGCATAGGAAATCAAAGCCGCGAGGGATATTTGAGCGAAACCCTTCATAGTGGATAGAGTTCAAGGGTGACAAGTAAATGAATTGAGAGTTCAAGGGCTTCTAGGAGGTCTGAGGCGACTTGGCAGAGCTGGCGATCAGTAGATGATGAATTGCATCTGGTGCGATATCCACAAGCCTTTATACTTGCTGGAGATTGTAACTCCAAGAGAAATCGCAGCGAGTTCATCCCGACAGCCAGGGTCTGTCAGGTGCTGGACGACTATCCTATGGAGCATGGTCCAATTTGGGCAGTTGGGGAAGTACAGTGGCATAAACCCACATGTCTCCAAATGATCAGCTCTGCAAAAGTGTTGGGCTTTCCGCGGCACACACCCGACGAGGTGGACGAGACGTGGGGATGTTAAGGCATGATTGGAGGCCTGAGCAAGAAAACGGCCTTGTTGCTCGGGAACGGAAGGTCCTGAATATACAAGGCAGATGATAAGGGGCATAGAGGGCAAGACACTTGTGCAGAGC